GATATAAACGAATATCATAAGATTTATATAAATTGAAGGTGCGAAAAATTGTAAATTATTTGGTTAAAATAGTTAAAAATTTTGGAAATAGGAAATTATAATTTACCTTTTATGGCGGACTAGTCACAGGCCATGAAACATTGACATTTAAAGACATTATAGAGCTCTCAACGTTATTTTGGTAGATATGTGTATATTAATATAAACTGAGTTCTAAGATGATATGCCTTAAAAGGTTTAGTTAAGCAGTTAAGTATAGAACTAATTGTTTTATTTAGGCTTAATGTGAATGCGTGAGTATGTTAAAAATGTAAAGTCAAATTTCAGCAACTGGTCTGACTAACCTAGCAATCTCGCTAGAAGAGTAATGTAATAATGCAAATATGTAAACTACTTGCTAGTAGAAGCTAAATTGCTGACAGTTTAATTTTTTTCACTAAAAGAAATATGTGCTTAACTGGCGTTCAAGGCCATTTATTTTATATCGAAATAGAATACAGTTGAGGATATATTATTGATTAAAATAGAAGTAATGATAAATAATTTACGGTGATTTTAAATAGAAACAAAATTATCGTTTTCATTTAAATTCATTTACGACGTAATCTCTTTTTGAATGAAGTAAAAGTGATATTAAAATTAAAAAAGTTCCTGCAAAATATTTAATCTTAACTGAAAATAATGACTTGGAAATTTGTTTAGTGGCACTATTCCCTCGAATAATAATAAAAAATTATTTTCAAACATTTCTCCCGGGAGATTTCGTCTTACCTTGTTGTACAATGCACTGCGCAAGAGGGCCCGACTACGTTTCAGCTGGCGCAAGTAACGCTCTCGGAGGGATTCCCCATCGTCGGGGTGCCTAATTTGCTCGTGTTCTGTATCTTCCCCAGCGTTTATTCTGCCTTTCCTTTCCTGTCCTGTCTTCGGAATCGGCCTCAGTCTTGGGATTAATTCCGGCCCTACAGTGGACGCTTGAGTTATAGTAGGGTTGCTATCGTTGCTACTGATAGTGGTTGAAGGGGAACCGACTGAAGGTGAGGCTAAACCGGGAAGATTTGACTCTATGGACCGGATTTCTGGAAGAGGACTCATTGACTCATTACTTCTGGTTTCAGTCTTTGAGTTACTAAGCCGTTGCCTACTTGGGGTAGTAGATACCGTAAAGTCAATTGGGGATTGACTGTTGGAACCTCCATGCATGATGGTCGTCATCTCCTCCTTCTCCGTACCTCGGACACTATCAAGTCGCATTGACTCCAGTGCTGCTGATGTAGTAGAAAGGAGATCTAGAGTGGGATTCGTACAGAGACCACTTGGACTTGAACAAAAGTAGTGGTCAACACTTGACTCTGGAAGATTTGCAAGCCAGTTGATGGAACGATCCAATTCTTCTAGGTAACTAGACAATTGGAGTATCTGAAAAATAGTTTGCATAAGCAA